TTCATTTCTGGCAGTCCCAATATTTGCAAATAGCAATATTATAGAGCTTGCACATATGCCTAAACACCCTAATTACATTGTATTTACAGAACAATTTAATTTTAATTTAATTATATCTTTATATCTCTTGGGGATTTTTTTGTTGTTGTTGTTATCAGGGATTGAACCCAAGAGTACTTAACCACTAAGCAACATCCTCAGCCCTTTTTTCATTTTTTAATTTGAGACAAGGTCTCACTAAGTTGATGCAGCTGGCTTTGAACTCATGATTCAGCCTCCCGAGCCACTGGGGTTATAGGTGTGCACCACCATGCCCAACCTCATGAGGAATATTTTAAATATCTACATTGAACACTGGATAGAAAATTTTAATAGTATTTCTTATTGAACAGATATGGTCTAGAACATGAATGAAAAGTAAAGATAAGAAAATGTTACACTGTTCAGTGCTATTTTAGCAAGCTAGGTTTTATTAGAGGAAAGCCCAAATTGTCTAAAATTACAAATAGCTAGAGTTTGAACATAATGAACACAAAAGAACCCTCCCCTTTCAATTAACACACAGGGCAAGGTTATTTGTAATGTGTTTCTCCTCCTTTTGCCACAACTAAGATGAAAGCATGGATTAATACAATTTAGTCAAGTATATGCATGTGAGTAAATATGTAAGTACATGTGTGTGTGTGTGTGTGTGTGTGTGTGTGTGTCCCCAAATTCAGAAAAAGAGACCACCCTCAAGCCAATACAGAGGCCACAGTAAGAAGCAGGTGTCCAAGGACATTCTTCATCTAGATTACTTGCTGCCCAAACAGGGCATTTCAGAGCAACACTAGTAATTGTGTTGCTATGGCAATTATGCCGTGTGCCCAGCAACCGTGCATACGCTGTGGCTTAGAGTTTTAAAGTGCCACTTCAAAGTGAGAATAGCACAATTGTTAAAAAGCCATGGTATATATTTTTTTTTAAATCTAACCTTTGGAAAAAATATGAGAAGGATTTAAGAAGGATCTCTCCTACTTTATTTTCATGGGGGAGAAAAGACATATTTAACAGAGTTTTTAAAATTATTTTTTTAGTTGTCAATTTATTTTATTAATTTATGCAGCGCTGAGAATCAAACCCAGTGCCTCACACATCCTAGGCAGGCACTCTGCCACTGAGCCACAATCCCAGCCCTTAAAGAGAATTTTGAATTATATGTGAAACAGATTGAGCATCATGTTTATAGAGGTTGTTTTATGAAACCATTTCAGCTTAAATGGCAGTTTACCTTCCTAAAGAGCTTAGTTTTTGTCCTCAATTTTATTCTTTTTTAGGTGTCGGAAACAATAGTGTTAATGTGTAAATAAACTTAGTAGATCATGATGAGAGAATGGCTGTTTTAGTTGGCTTCATCGTAGCTCTGACCAAAATGCCTAAAAAGAACAACAAAGTTTATTTGGGCTTCCTGTTTTCAGAGGTCTCAGTCCACAGATGGTGAACTTCATTGCTCTGGGCCCAAGGTGAGGCAGCATATTATAGCAGAAGGGCCCAGAGGAACAAAGATGCTCAGCTCATGGTGGGGTCAGGAACAAAGAGAAAGGAAGGGGATGAGGGAAGAACAACCCATCCAGGCACATCCTGAGAAACTCACTTCCCTCAGTCTTGTCCCACCTGCCTACATTACCACCCAGTCAGTCCATTTCAGACAAGGATGGACAGATTAGGTGACAGCTCTCATAATCTCATCATTTTGCCTCTGAATATTCCTGCACTGACAGGAGGCTTTGGGGAACACCTCATATGCAAAGTACAATGTAGAGTGTTATCCTTTTCTATTCTGTGATGTCACAAACTCTTATCCATTTGATATGATTTTCTGGATCATCAAATCTTTTTTTTTAATTAGGTCTAATCAGTTATACATGACAGTAGAAATCTCTTCAATTCATTGTACACAAATGGAGCAGAATTTTTCACTTCTCTGGTTGTATATTACTGAATCTTTTTTCTTTTTTAATATTTTTTTAGTTGTAGTTGGACACGATACATTTTATTTTATTTATTTTTATGTGGTGCTAAGGATCAAACCCAGCACCTCACATGTGCTAGGCGAAGCTCCACCACTGAACCACAACCCCAGCCCCCATCACTGAATCTTAATACCCATTATTCTATCAATAATTTGCTTAAAATCCTATTTTCTCTCTCCTCACTCCAAGATATTTTCACATCTTTAAAGACACAATAGAGTATTGTTTGAGTTTTAAAACTCTACAATCCATGAATAATATAATGTTAAACTTTAAGGGGAGAGAACTTAACTCGTCCTGGATCCTTTCATCTTCTCTGCAACATACCATCAATTCTGAGTCATCCGTTAGCTAGTGATTCTCAGAGCCCTCTTGGGATGCCTGTTGAAATATCCTTTCTTGCCAGATCCTCTGAAAAAGCACATTTGGAGACACAAAATCAGCATGTATTACATGAACACTACAATTTGCCAAATATCAGGGTATCTGGCAAAAAAATGTAAGCATAGCACATGGGAAGTATAACATCTAGCAATGAAGAACAATTCAGAATTGAGAAATTTTGGACTCCTTCCTAATTTTATTGAGGTTAAACCTGATTATAAAAATTCTGTTCTGGAAGACATTTCCCAGGATATGAAGGCAAGTGCAACAAGAAACTATTAGGGCAGGGAACTGTCAACCCTGGCTGCACTTGACAATCACCAGGAGAGAGGTTTGCAAACACCTATGTCCTGGCTCCAACCCTAAAGGTAATGATTTAATTGGGAACAGAGCATAGCATTTCCTTGGTCGGTCGGTTGGTTGGTTGGTTTGCTTTAAACTCTCTAGTAACGCTAAGGTACCACCAGGCTTGACAAACAGGGCATGAGAGAGACACTGTGTTGTGAAAGTAGGGTACAGGGAGGACCTAGACATTGTGTTCAAAAACCATGACCCAGCCACTTGGCTTGGTGCTGTCAGCGTAGACATCACCAAGGAGATGACTGCACTACAGGAGAGCCCCACCTAGAGCGAGCAAAAGAGGCCAAGGAGAAGTTAGAAGAAAAAGGTCTGCTTTACCGTTTGCTTGATTTTCCTCTTATTCTGAGAATAATAAACAAGTTCATGAACATCTCCACCCCTGGAAATTACAGCCCTTGCTTTCTTCAGTATCCTTCCCCTTGTCTCTGCCTATTAAACTGCTCAGACTGAGGGATTGCAGCCTTGTGAGGGAAGTGGGGGTACCCCGGAGCTTCAGTGAGTGAAAATAAAGCTGGAAACACCCAAAGAATCTTCTGTCGAAGGCTAGTCCAGGGATGGCAGGGTCTGAATGTCAAGCCTCTGTATAACTCCAGCCCGGATGGTCCTGACAATGAAGGCCTCTGTGTGAGGTGAGGTTACTGACTGAAAAGGCTGCCTCCCCACGCCCATTCTGGGAGCATTTGTGAAACCAGAAAAACACTGCATGGCAGACAGCTTTTCCTCACCTTTCTCCTCTGTCAGATTCTTGAGGCCACTCTTTGAATGTGGAGAGAGACGGTAAATGCCCTTAGTCACTGTCTTTGTTTCCTAGACCTGCCACAAGAAATCAGCACAGATGTGGTGGCTTAAAACAATGGGAATTTTCTCACAGTTCTGGGGACCAGAAGTCTGAAGTTCCGCAGAGTCACACATACTCCCTCCCTCAGTGACTCTAGGATAAAACCCATTCCTTGTTTTTTTTTTTTTTTTCTGATTTTGGTGGCTGCCTCCATCTTCACATTGTCCCATACTCCATGTTTGTCTTCTTTGTGGGTCTTTTACAACAACATTTACTGTTAGGCTTAGGGCTCACCTGGATCTTCCAGGATGGTCTCCTTATCCCAAATTAAGATCCTTAACTGGATGACCACTGCAAAGGCCTTTGTACCAAACAAGGTAACATTCGTAGATCCTAAGGATTCATATGTGGACGTGTCTTTTAAGGGACCCACCATTTAGCTCACTTGTGTCCCCAAGCATCTACAAGAAAAATGTTACTTATCCAGGCATGGTGGCACCCCTCTGGAATTCCAATAACTCAGGAGGCTGAGGCAGGAGGATCACAAGTTCAAAGCCAGCCTCAGCAATTTAGGGAGGGCCTCAGCCACTTAGCATGACCTTGTCTCAAAATAAAATATAAAAGGGGGCTGGGGACTTAGTTCAGTGGCAAAGCACCCCTGGATTCTATCCCCAGTACCAAAAAAAAAAAAAGAAAAGAAAACATCCCTTAATGTGACAAGACGAAAGGGACATGCTGGTGAAGACAGTGAGTAGGATTGGTGAGGGTTAAAATGACATGCATTTGTTTACCTGGCTGCTTTTCCTCGTTTGTTGGGTATTTCTAAGTTAAATATCAATGTAGCAGGCAATGAAAGCATTCCCTGGTGTTCTTTACCAGCTTTCTGAAGCTTCCCCCAATCTGCTGTGTCGCACTCCAAGCCAGAGACAGGGAAAGAACTGTTCAGCCAGGCTCTGTGTACAGCTCATTTTCCTCATGCCCAACGTGTCCTTGCCAACCCCTGCACTGAAACCATCATCCTGTCTCGTGGAGACGGGAAAACTCTCAGGGCCACGTTTCACATACAAATTCTTTCCCCACATAGTTGCCAGAGCCAAACCAGAAGAGGTAACACAATCAAAGGGCTGCACTTCATGATTTCCTCTGCCCACGCCTGTGCGCCCGTGAGTGCCTATGTGAGTGCGTGAGCACACACACACACACACACACACACACACACACACACACACACATTCACACACTTATTTTTGCTTGGCCTAGCAACACAATGGGAATGTAAACACGTTGTTAATGCAGCCGCTCTCAGTTGGCTTCCCAGATGGCTTAAGTTCAATAGATTTTTCCCCCTGATTTCCTCAGCTTCTCCTAGCAAGTGCTAAACAGCCATTATGCCTTTTCCTGCACATTGAGATTCATCTGCAGCTACTAAACTGCCTCCAAAGTGCTTCAATTTTGCATGAGTGCTAAGCTGGGGACTGGGAGACATTACCCAGTACTGAAGGCCCAGATCATTAGAAAGAGCATGTCAATCCTCTGAACCAGAAATAAAAAGTGCAGAGATTTCCTTTGTGAAGTCTCAACTGCAGCTTTATGTAAAACACGGACCTTTAGCAAGACTTTACATGGCCCCTTTTACTTCCCAAATTTTATTTGTGCTTCTTTTTTTTTTTTGGTTCCACTTTGGCACATGTGTTCTAATATTTTTAATTTTTAAACAGTTATCTTTCTATCAGAAACATGCGAAATCATAGCCGTTCTGTCTCATTGTTTCTCAAGACCCCAGAACCCTCTTCACTTTTAATAGGGATGATACTTCAAAGTATTGCTAAAGGATCACCTGCAGGACAGATTTTTAAAACAAACCTGAAAACCTGATGCATAGCAAGAAGGTTTGAGAGGTGAGAGGCTGACACTGATAAGACATGTGCCGTATAAAGTATTTTAGATGTAAGATTTATATAAATACTGGATTATGGAAAATTTGGAATAGAATCTAAAGGGGACTGTGAAAATTACCAAGAAGGAAGCAATAATAGGCTTCTCATCATTCAATAGATAATCCCTGTATATTGTTAAATATGTCTTCTTTGTATTTTTCAACGTGAACATATTTTTAATCAGCATTTGATCTGTACCTTCACCTCTACCATCTTCACAATCTGCTTGTCAGACCATCTTACTGCAAATTAAAAATGTGTGGTCAGCTCCAGTACTACCTGCAAGAGAGTGGCCCAGAAGGGCTGAAGTCCTGAGTCCTGCAGCTTTACATGCTGTGGGCCTGGGCTCACACCCCAAGGCCTTGGAGTTGTAACAAAATGTACTTATGATGGAAAGGTTCCCTCTATCCATTCAAGAATAATAAACTAGTCAGTCTCCTTTTACATGATTTCTCTGTAATTATTTATCTTTTTCCCCCCATGTATGTACATAATAGGTGAGACTGTCTTTCTTTTTAGGATTCTGAGAGTAAAAATGTGTATTTGATGTACATTTATGGTTAGATAGTGCTGTTCATTATTTATCTCAAGACACATTTCCAAGAACATTTATTAACCACTGATTTATTCAACAGTGCATAAGTAAGTGGAACCTGACAGAAATGCAACTAAAAAGGGTTATAATAGGATATGAAGTGAGTGCATTCCAACTTGTAGGTACAAAGAAAATACTAGATGAATAACATGCATAAAAATGTACACAGAGATGTTAGGCGCATGAGTCTGTGTAATATATCCACTTTAGCAGAAACCCAATTTTGTCTGTCAGCATGTTGTATATATCATTTAGACTGAATAGTATCATCCATTAATTTCCCTTTACTAAAAACATAGCTAATCATGAAAATGGCATGATCTTTATTAATGTTGGTATCATTGCAAAATATTTTTTACTATGATTCCATACCTCATTGACTCCAACTCTACTTGTTAAATAGTTGTCTTTCATGTTCTCCCCATGAAAGTTGTTTATCCACTAGAGTATGTATCTTTGGAAGGGAATATATTTCATATAAAAAAAGGAAAAATGACAAAACTTTGCCAGGAGATATGAACAGACATATGAAGGAAGCCGTTTGTTCAGTTGGCAATATTATACAGGTATATAAATATCTTGGGGAATTGGAGTCCTGGTGAGAAACAGTCATTTTTCTTTATGATGCTAGAGGAGAATGGACAAAAAGGCATCATCAGTTACAAACAATATTCAGAATCAGGTATCATTCTTCAGTCATTTCTGATTTAAGCTTATTTATCTCTTGCAAAAACATCAAAATTTGTTTGACCGCATAAAGGTGATAATGACAATTAAACACTATGACCTAGTATTTCACTTTAATTTGTGCAATATTGAAATGATATTTTGAAAGCATTGCACACATAACAATTTGGAAGTAATTTTATATGATAAATAAATTCCTCTAAATTTTATAATATTTTAAGCATAAATATTAAAATCAAACATTCACATATTTGAAAACA